CACTTGTAAATAAATAAGATTGCATCAAAGAAAATACCAGACTCCATCCTCCTTTTCTGCGCCCAACTGGGACATCCTGGGGCCTTGAACTCTGACTATCCAGTTGGGTCACAAAGGGGCAACAATATTGAGTGAATGTTCTCTGTCTAGAAACCAAATCCTGCCGTGGATGAAGAGTCTGGGATGCGAATGAAAACTGGAAGTTATTTCAGAAGGGTTTATTACATGGTCTGTGTAAGGAGTATGGGGCTTAATCTTGCCGCTTTCACAGCCAATGAGAATTCAGCTTACCTTAGAGTTCCAGGATTTGTCTCCTCAGACGATATGGGACATGGTCTTTATTTTTGCTCTTTTTTCCCACTTGATATTATTTTAAAACAATGAATAAATGTAAAATACCCACTAAAGATCTGAACAAGGAACAGACCAAAGGGGGGTTTCTCACCGATTGCCCCTGGGGCCTTCAGTGGCCGCAAACATCTCGGTCTTGTGGTTGTAGAATTCCTTTAGCAAAGTCTTCTGCAGCTGTGGAGAATCATATTTCTGAAATTCCCTACTCGAGACAAGGAAAACCTGCGGGGAACTCATCCCTTCTCTGGACAGGTTGTAGACGCAGTTGTTTCTGATTTTCTCCAGGGTTCTCTCCTCGTTGAAGCTCTTTTTATGTTTCTCATTATACAGGTCCAAGTCCACCCTGGAGCGTACAAAGAAAAACTTCTTTCCCATCTTCTGGATCTCCTGGGCCAGCTTGGTGTGGCAGAATCTACTCCTCTCTGAAGCGATGATTATAAAAACATCGTAATGGCTGCACTTCACTTGTTTCAGATAAGCGTCTGGCCGAAAATCTGGGGTCCCAATTGCTGGCAGGTCCCAGAAGGTCACCATGGGACAGGTAGGATGACGATATGCTACTGGTTCTTTGGTCATTTCCACCACACCAGTCTCAGCAGCACCTTCGTCTTCATCTGCCAGGCCCCGAATGGCATTGACCAAAGATGATTTGCCAGATCCCGGCTCCCCTGTGATGGCGATATTGAACTCAACGCCTGACAAATTCTTAAATGTCTGCACCACGGAAGCTGCTTCTAAGAAGTTTCCTGCTTTGATAGCAGCCTCGATCTGTTTAGTTTGTTCTGCAGAGATGCCAGGAAGAATATTTCTATATTCTTCATATAGTTCATCACAGGTAGAACTGAGATTAGCCATCTCCTGGGAAAAGAAACGGTCACGGTTAGTTTTGTTCTCCCCACAGGATCCGCCAGCACATTGTAACCTGGAGACCGGTATATAAATATCCCAGACATATAACTCATCACACACAAACCTGCAAAGCTGCAAGAAAAGGAGCTTTGGTGACAGTTTGAAATAACTAAAATAACCTGCAGAGATTTAGGAACTTTCTGGATGATCCAGAGAGCTGGGATCATAGAATCATAGAAGACTAGGATTGTAAGAGACCTCAGGAGGTCATCTAGTCCATCCCCTAGCTCAAAGCAGGACCAACCCCAATTAAAGGAAGAAAGGAGAGCAGCAGAATACGAACCCTGGACTTCAGAAAAGCAGACTTTGACTCCCTCAGGGAACTGACGGGCAGGATCCCCTGGGAGAATAACATGAGAGGAAAAGGAGTCCAAGAGAGCTGGCTGTATTTTAAAGAATCCTTATTGAGGTTGCAGGAAAGAAACATCCCAATGTGTAGAAAGAACAGTAAATAGGGCAGGCGACCAGCTTGGCTTAACAGTGAAATCCTTACTGACCTTAAATGCAAAAAAGAAGCTTACAAGAAGTGGAAGATTGGATAAATGACCAGGGAGGAGTAT